GCCGGTCTTTGGCCCGGCATCTGGTCACGTCTACCCACAGTCAGATCAACAAATTGTCGACCTAAAGCGTCGATGGCAACATCACGCCTTTTGTTTGCAACATCGATCCTTTTCGACGGCATCGTGAATCGTCTTATATATTGTATAGAAAATTCTCTGTATTGAAATCTTAAATCCCTCCCTATATATTAATTCAAAACGTGTTGAGCCTAGGTGGCAGATTCTCACGCTTCGGATGCTGACATGACGAAAATCTATGCTTCGTGATGTTGTTTTTATATTATTTCTGCTCTGGAATTAGGTTTGGTATTAGACATAAATAACTTTACACATATATTCATTAACTAAACACCCATGTTGTACATTGGTATTAGTACTAGTATCAGTTAAAAGTAAATAATGTAATAATTCAATTATAAGTTAGATGCTTATTATAAATGAAATTTTATTTTAACATTATTTTTATATACAAATGTATAATATTTTTTGTGTAATATGTGCATGTGCAGTGGATCATTAGTTTTATTGAATAGAGTCAACTAATCAAACAAATCATTGAGGGGGAAGAGAGAGTTTGGTAACGTTAATGAATTCACTTAATGTTCCAACACATTAAAATCAAATGATACATCTTATGAAAGAATAGTGAAAGAGGACGGGGCCTTCTAAGAATAAACTTCAGTGTGCTAAGGTCTCTTCATCTAACCAGTCTCTAAACTTATCCCAGAAGAGAGACAGACCAAGTGGTAAAGATCTTATTACGATGGACGATCCCCAAGGAGGCACTGCAATTTCTGGTAAAAAACCTAAACTTTCTCTGGAAAAGGTCGAGTTGGCCAACCTTAATGGGCCAACAGGTGACAAATGAGAGTGCTGGTGTGGAATTGTAGAGGTTTGGGTGGACCCTCTACAATTCCCCAGCTTAAGGAGTCCCTAAGGACCCATCGCCCTACTTTTTCTTTTTTGTCTGAAACTAAAAATTCCGTAGCTTTTGTAAATACTGTTTGTCTTAGCCTTAAATGTGAAGATAGATGGAAGTCAGTTAATCCTATTGGGCGCTCTGGAGGTCTGCTCCTGTTTTGGAATCTTGATGTGAATATTATCCAAATTATATGTCATGACTTTTGCATTGAAGTTGAATTTACTACTCAGCAAGATTAGAGAAGCACCTGGTTTATTTTGGTTTATATGAGCTCTATTAAGAGTGTTAGAGAATCCCAGTGGGCTCAGCTCTTGGATATGCAGAGGAATTGGGGGTCTCATTGGTTTTGTGCAGGTGACTGGAATGATCTGTGTTCCAGTGATGAGAAACATGGTGGTACTCTTAGAAACCTTCAGAGCTGTTCTGGTTTCAACTCCTTCATTCATGATATGGGTATGAGTGAGATCAACTGGAAAGGCTACAAGTATACTTGGGCTAATAATAGAGTCAATGAAGGGCTGGTGGAAGAAAAACTTGACAGAGCTTTCTGCTCCTTAGATTGGCTCTCTTCTCATCCCCACTCTTTTGTAGAAAACATCTTCAGAAGCTCCTCGGACCATAGCATGTTGATCATCAACTCTGACCCCCATTCTGTGAAGATCAAGAGCAGATTTAAATTTGACAAAGGTGGCTATCTAAAGATGGAGTGCAAGAAATTGTGGAAGAAGCTTGGGCTAACCCAATGGAGGGAACTCCAATGTTTCAAGTGAAAGAAAAGATTAAGGCTACTAGGAAGGCTCTCCTGGTTTGGAGCATGTCCCACAACTCTGAAAACCAGAAAAAGATCAAATCCCTCAATGCAGCCACGGAATCTATCAGAGCAGCTGATGGTGATAGAGACTGGGACACTTGGCACTCCATTGCATCCCAGCTTAACAAAGCCTATCTCAAAGAAGAATCTTTCTGGAGACAGAAATCAAGGCAATTATGGCTCAAAGAAGGAGACAAGAACACGAAGTTCTTTCATGCATTCACTACCCATAGAAGGAAACTTAATGCAATTTCTAGACTTGTGGATGAGGCTGGCAGAGTCTATGAATCACCTCAAGAGATACAGAATTGTGTTTGCCATTTCTATGACAGGCTATATACTTTAGAAGGCTCATCTTGTACTGCTGATTTTCTGAATCTTATCCCCACTTCCATCTCTGACCAGCAGAATTTAAACCTCATTTCTGAGGTCCATGAAGATGAAATTTGTGAAGTCCTCTTCAGTATGAGCCCTGAAAAATCTCCCGGTGAAGATGGGATGACTTGTCTGTTCTATCAGTACTTCTGGCAGGTCCTCAAAGATGACATTTGTGCTGCAATTAAAAGCTTCTTCCAATCTGGAAGAATGCTCAGGTATTGGAACCACACTGTGGTGACCCTGATCCCCAAATGTCTTCATCCCACATCTTTAAGCAATTTCAGGCCTATTAGCCTTTGTGGTGTGGTTTACAAGTTAATCTCCAAGATATTGGCCAACAGAATTAAACCCTGCTTGCACTCTTGCATCTCAGACTCTCAGTCTGCTTTTATCCCAGGCAGACTTCTCATGGATAATGTGGTGATTGCCCAGGAGGTTTTCCATTTCCTCAACAGGCATAGGTCAGGTAAAAATTGCTTCATGGCTATCAAGCTGGACTTACTTAAGGCCTTTGACAGATTAGAATGGGGAAGTGTGAAAAAAGTTATGAGTAAAATGGGATTTCACCCTAAATTTGTCAGTTGGGTCATGGGATGTATTACTACTCCTACTTATTCTTTCAACATTAATGGCAATGTCACAGGATTTGTAGAACCTTCTAGAGGTATCAGACAGGGGGACCCTCTGTCCCCCTACCTCTTTATAATTGTTGTTGAAGTTTTCTCCTCTCTTTTGCTATCTGATAATGGGCTGGGTGGTTTGAGAGGTCTCAGAATCTCTAAAGGAGGCCCTACACTCACCCATCTGCTATTTGCAGATGCTACTCTTATTTTCTGCAAAGCTGACTGTAATCAGGCATTCCAACTCATGGATATTCTTGACAAGTACCAAGCATTCTCGGGTCAGAAAGTCAATTGGAGTAAGTCCTCAATCTTTTTTAGCAAAAACACTCAGCCTCAGGTGAAGGGGAGTATCTGCTCTGTCTTGAACAACATTACTGCTCAAAGCTCCACTAAATACCTGGGCCTCCCTTTAGGGATTGGGCAATCCAAGATCCAAACTTTCTCTTATGTCACTGAAGCTGTCAGAGGCAGAATCCAAAGCTGGAAAAACAAGTATCTAACACCTGCTGGTAAAGAAACTCTAATCAAAGCTGTGCTTAATGATTTACCAGTTTTTGTTATGAGTTGCTTCAAGCTTCCTGTTGCTATCTGTAAAGAAGTTGCTAGGATTTGTGCTCAATTTTGGTGGAGCAAGGGACTTAATCAAGACTCTGGCATTCCTTGGGTTGCTTGGCAAAAAATAACAACTGCTAAGGAGATGGGAGGACTTGGCTTCCAAGATATCCAATTATTTAATGAGGCAATGATCATGAAGCAACTCTGGAGACTTGTCTCTAATCCTGACTCTCTGGTTGGCAAAGTTTTAAAAGCAAGGTACTACCCCACAACATCTTTCTTTGAAGCTAAAAGCAGAACATGTGGGTCATGGGTGTGGAATTGCTGGATGGTGGTTAAGAAAAAGTTTGATCTTAATCTAAAAGTCAATCTGCACAGTGGTTTGAATACTCTTATTCTGGGATATCCATGGATTAAATCCCTTGATAACAAGAAAATTTCTTTTAAGGAGGGAATACATTCAGAATGCACCTTTGTTAATGAAACTAACCACTGATGGGAAACATTGGAACTCTGATCTGATAAATGCTCTGTTTGATAGAGATGTTGCAGCTGCCATTTTGAAGTTGAATAGCCTCAATCCTGACAAATCTGATGGTTGGTTATGGCACAAAGCAAAGCAGGGATCTTTCACAGTAGCTTCAGCTTACTCTTACCTCTCTTCCATCAAATTACAGCTACTGGACTACCCTGAAAGCAGCAACTCTGGTGTTAGGGACATTAAAGTCAGGGAGAGAACTTGGAGACTCAAGGTCAGTGGAAAACTTAAGCATTTCATCTGGAGATGCTTCTCAAAGGCTTTGCCTGTTTCCACTAATTTGCTTAAGAAAGGTGTCCAGATTGATCCTATTTGTGCTGTGTGTGGAGAAGATGTTGAAACCATAGACCATATTCTTTTGCAATGCAGTAAAGCTCAGAAGGTCTGGAGATTAGCACCAATCCAATGGGAGTCTTTACCCTCTTCTTCACTTACCTTTGCAGACTGGTGGTGGAACATCTGCAGCCTCAACCATAGAGCCATTAATGAAGACAGAATTCAATTGTCAACATACATTCTATGGTGGTTGTGGAAAAGCCGCAACCTTTGGATCTTTCAGAAACCACAACTCTCTGAACTTTGTATCTTGAAGCAGGCTGTCAGAGATTGGACTGAATTCCAATCTGCTTAAATTATTGGTCCACCTGAGGATGTAGAGAGGTGCTAGGCAGGGATGCAGTTTCACTTCTCTCCTTTCTCTTATCTGCTTTTTTTGGCTAAGTCTAGGACTTCAGCTCTTTGCTGCCTTTGGCTTAGTTGTTTTATTGCATTTAGGCCTCGTCTGTGAGGTCTCCCATATCATGCGATGTATTTGATTTGAACAATGTGTATTTGGATTTTTATCCTTGTTTAATGAGTATCCTATCGTTTTGTTAAAAAAAAAAGAAACAATATTGCAGGTTAAATTATAAGCATCACTTTGAAAACTGTAAACTCTAAAGGCCTCTTCTCATCTCCAACATTCACTGCTGTTTTGCTCTAAATTGGCTCTCAAATTGATCAATTGAAAAACAAAATAATAATAATAACAAAAAATAAAAATAAAAAATAAAAAAATTACTATACATAATATCATGAATCAGTTATATGTTGTATATTTACTCCATCCTTCTGTTCATCAGCTAGCTTCCAAGATCTTTTCTTTTTCATTTTTTTCATTTTCTTTTTTCACTCTTAGCTGTTATTGATTGAATCAGTAGATACCGATTTCGACGCATCTAAATGGTTAAGTCGACATGTCCCAAGAAGAACTTCCGGCAGCTCCTCTGCCGTGTTTCCCTGAAATAGAAAAAGAACAAAAAAAAAAAAAAAATGACATTTAGTTAGGAGAGAAAACAAATTGTTCAGAGCCCAACTTCAAAATTCAAATAACATTCCTTCTCAAACTTATTAGTCCGAACCAGTTTTAACTAACAGATAAGCCGAGCAACAAGTAATCTGTTTCGTCTTTGAGCCCTATTCAAACTATATACGTTAACTGGTCGAATCAGTGGGTTGAACTAATTGGACTTGTCTTATTTTATTATATTTTTCAATTATATATAGTATTTTTAAATAATAATTTATATACATTTCACATCATTAATTCAATATTCTGACAATTTAAGGTATTCAAATGCGAATATAATGATATATATTCAAAATCGACGAAGGTCGTTAACGTTGATTTTTTTTTTTTTTTT